TAATTAATTAATTAATTTTCTAATTAATTTTCTAATTGATTACAAGATATTATTTTGACATAATATCTTGCAATTACACCCAAAAACCACCATAAGTGGCCAGACACATTTTCTCCAAATAGGGGCCGCCCACACCCCCTATAAATAGCTCCAATTTCTCCTAAAAACCTAAGTCCAACTCTCTTGCAAAATTCTCCAAATTTCTCTAAACATTTTTCCCTCAAATTCTAACTTTGACATCGGAGGTTCTTCGGCCAAAGCCCCCCCCTCATTCATCGTGGGCACAAAGAAGGCGGAAATTTGCATTCACAAATTGGTGCTTTCATTGAGAGTTTGAGTCACATGCTCGTAGAAGACTCTCGTATTCAAGGTTTTTCGTTTTCTTGTTCATTTGTAGATTTTTCGTATGTTTTTACTCTTGGAATTCTTATTTATAAAAATTCTTAGATAAAACGTAAAACAGAAGTACAATGACAAGAGATTCAAAAATCTCGATAAACGGAAATTTCAATGTTCAAGAAATAGGACCACGGCGATCCACAAAACTTAACACAACAATGAGTGGAGCAGCACCATTCTCATGGGGCACCACCGTTCAAGCCCACACAGGCCCAAGCCCAAGGCGAGCAGGCCCGAGCCGCTCAAGCCCATCGTGAGCCCTGGCCTCGTACCCACGTGCGCCGCACTCCAAGCAGCTCACTCATATAGCCTAGCCTACTCCCATGGCCTTCCAAGCAACCTAAATAGGTCCAAAACTGGTTCAACCGTCCCGGCTCCAAACTTTTGGGTTAATGATTGAACCAGGGGCATTTTCACCTTATTTCCCAACTCAAATCTCATTTCCGAAGACTACCACATTTCTACTGCTCAACGAGACGCATTCCTTCCAAGTTCTTCCAACCCAAATGGAGAATAACACTTGTCTCGACAAGTCGTATAGTTGACAAGCACCCTCGCACATCAAACGACTTTGATGAATCAGCTCTTGCAGCACACCAAAATGTAACATGCCCTAGACGAGGTGTCTCGAAGTAGGACAAAGGAAGACAAAAAACCTCTCTAGTAGAGTCTTGGCAAGCAGCCACTCAACCAACCACGAACCAAACGTTCGGGCAGTGTACACTATCGATTAGGCCCCCGAGATAGCGTATACTCTCGTCTTATCATGCGGATGAGCATGCACTCTCGACTAGGCCCACGGACAAGCATACATTCACGGTTGAGGCCATACTCCGATAGTCAACATGAGCAACCTTCTAGGCGAAGTGTTCATATGCGGCTAGGCCCGCAAGGAGCATCATTTACCTCACATCGAAGCATGCAACACGAAGGATGGAGATAAGCAGTCACTTAGTCCGGCTCAAGTTCAACCAGCAGCTTGCGAAGAATTCCTTCGCCTACTAGGAACAAACCACAAGCACCGCCACTACGGCATAGATGAGCTGAACATGTAGAAAAGCAGCCTAGACCAACAGGTCGAGACTAGGGCAGTCGAGAGCTCCGCTACACTAACAAAAGCCAATTTAGGAAGAGGTAGATATGCTCTTAAACGAACAATTGCGTGATTTCCAATGCAACAAAGTTGTCGACGAAACGCTACGACGAGACATGACCAATATGAGCAGGTCACCCTTCACGGATGAGATCGAGCAGGCAAAGCCTTCATGTAAGTTTGGCATGCCATATTTCGCAACCTTCAAAGGAGATGGAAACTCGGAAAAACATTTGAAGTACTGAAGCACAATGGTCCTTTATCGGAACAACGATGATCTTATGTGCAAAATATTCGCCATCACTTTAGATGGTGAGGCGTAAGATTGGTTCAACACCTTACCGCCATGATCCATCTGGAGTTTTGATGATTTTTCCTTAGTTTTCACCAAAGAATATTCATCCTACCGCTCAATCAAGAAGAAGTCCGACCACTTGTTCAACGTGAAGAAGAACCCAAAGGAATTGCTTTGCGACGATATGAAGAAGTTCAAAGTAGAGAAGGCAAAGATAGTCAGATGTAACGACTCGATAGCTAGTGCAGCCTTCCAAAAAGGACTCTCAACAGCCCATCCACTATTCGAAAAATTGATCATGAAAGAATGTCTATCTTTGGTAGACTCTTTTGCTCTGGCAGATAAGCATGCACTTTGGGACGAGGCTCACCGATGAACATTCCAGGCAAATTCGAGCAATCTTGAATATGAAGTCCCCTACTATTCTGAATGAGATTCAAGATCTGACTAGACGAGTAGCCGCATCTGAAGCAGCAATAAGCTCTACCCTCATATGAGAAGAGCTGGAGGCCCAACTACCTGTATTCCACAATTCAAAAGCTCTTATCGATGCAGAAACCAACTACCAAAAATTCAAAAGCCAACTTTGGCAACAGTTGTTGCAACCCGGAAGCTCAAATTATACCTTCAAACGCACGTAATCATCCTCATGACGCACTATTCTGCCAAATCCAGACACCCAACGATAAAGGTGCGAACACTGGCGGTGTAAAGTTTTTTTTTTTTACTAACGCAACAACTGAACCCAAAAGGCACACCAATGGCAGACGAACACTACAAGGACACTCGGAAACAAATTTTGTCCTCGTTGCCCCAGAAGATTCTATATAGGAGCAACATATACTGGCAGTTAAGCATCATCTCCTACTATGTATCACACTACCCCAGCTGACCCTTGAGCGATAATTAAGCTCTAGAGCGGTCTGATACCTACAGTTGAGTATCTCCTGTTACGTGTAACATAGCCCCAGCTTCACAACTCCCTACCACATCTTCACGCCTAGCCTAGGTGAAGCAACAAAATGACCCAACGACGCTCCACAATCAACAGATGCCCCGGGAGCAGGCGTCGTCCTTGTCACCCTAGACAGTTCGATGCTCGAGCAAGCAATCACTCTAGGCTTCAAAGCATCCAATAATGAAGCAAAGTACGAAACCCTACTAGCAGGCCTCCGAATGGCAAAAGACTTGGCGGTGAAAAAGCTTGCAATTCATTCCGATTCCCAGCTAATCACCAGCTAGAGTAATGGGGACACGGTGAAACATCCAGGGATGGCACAATACTTAGAGAAAGTACGCAAGCAACTTAAAACATTTCAGACTTACACCTTCACTCAAGTTCTGCGGGCAGACAACGCCCACGCGGACGCACTAGCAGGCTTAAGCTTCGCCCTCGACCACCAACTCAAAGGAATTATCCCGGTAGAGTATCTAGACAAGCCAAACATAGAGGTAGAGCCAGCAACTAAAGTGTCATAGCTGAAGTCTTCTGCATCATTATAAGTAAAACAGTCTTCATATACTCGGTCGTGTGCTTCGCAAAGGAACTTGGGCAAACAACCTTTTTAACACCATCAACAAACTTGGCACAATTGTCCATGTCTTCAAGCAGATCTGGTTTCAAAAGTGCATAGATCTCAACATCCTCCCTAGAAGCAGGCTTAGTGGATTTCTCACAGCTGCCCATGTGAGTAGTCTCCTCCTTCCTAGTAAGCGAATCAGTTTCAACAGGAGGGAGAGTAAGCCTTGGTGTCACTTTAGTAGCAGAGTCCACCTTATCGCTCTTCATAGTAGCAAGTCTCTTCAAAGGTGAACCAGACTTAGCCCCCGAATGACGTTTTGGCACAAATTTTGGCATTTGGGGCATGACGGAACTTCTACGCTGTGCAATCTTATCAGCAATCGTACTGGCCACCTTTGGCACTGCAAGCGTCACTGGCTTAGATCTAGCAACCTCAACTTTCTTCCCCTTGGAAGAAGTCAAGTCAATCACAAGCTTATCAGTAGTAGGCGGACTCTTATGAGCAGTGGAGGAAGTCTTCGACTTTTCTTGAGCAGGTGGGGAAGATCCTTTTTTTTTTTCACCTTCATTCGTCCATGACAATGATAGGACGAGCCAATGCATCCACCTTGATCTTCTTTATCTCATATTTCGAGAATAGCCCATCTTTCTCTTAGCAAAAATGATTAAGCAGCCAACGATATTCATGATACTCGGTAGGAAAGCTCAACCTATGAAGGCTTCTCCCTCATTTTTTTTTTCTATTAGACTAGCAGGCAGAAGGTCTGCATGCCCAATATTCCAACAGTCCATGAGGTCCACGACCTCCTCATTGCTCTCAATCACCGGGCCTGGTCTCCGTCAGGTCCAAAAACCCAAAAGACATGAGCCATGCAGCTCACCCAGCACTGTGCCCCAACACCTTGATCCACGGCCCTAGCCACACAACTACGCTTGGCTTTAGCCAAGTCCAGCAGCCCAAGCAGTGATCTCTGCCACACCACCTCCTTGGCTTATGCCAAGCCAACTCTTGGGCCCTGCCAGCCGACATACCACACCACCCTAACGGTTGCTCTATGGCAACACCACCTAAGAAGAAGAAAAGGAGAATTAAGTTTTTTTTTTACATCAGTGTGGCGCAAAGAAGACAAACAAATCAACGGAAGACGATTCTTTGCACGGGCAAGCAAAGAAGAGTGCTAAAGGAACAAATATCCTGTAGTGGGACCTATCTAGATTCATCGGCTCTATGTATGATCGCAGAAGATGTGTTGCAATTGGCTTCCACTTTTGCTATGGCGGGATTTATTCATGTCTCTCGTTTATGTAATAGAATTGCCCACCATCTTGCTAAGTTTGCATTGTCTAGTAGCAATAATCTAGTTTGGATTAAGTAGCCTCCTATTCTCATTTATGCGCTCCTCCTCGAAGACATGTGACTTTAAATGAGTTTATTTAATCAATACAACACTTACCTTTCAAAAAAAACAAAATATATATATATATATATATATATATATAAATGGCAGTTTTATTAATTTCCCAAATTAAATGTACATATAAAGTCAAAAGTAGCGTGATTAGTGGGCGGCCATAAAGTCATTGACTTTCTTACAAAGACGGTCAGTCAAGTGGCATCTTCCCGTAATTACTCCCAAACCCAGTGGCATTTTCTCTCCAACGGTCACTATGTTTATAAACTCCCAAACCATTCTGCAAAACCACTGCCTCTCAGAAACTTGAGATTTTAGACAAAAACCGAAATAAAAAAAAATGGGAAGCTCAAGCTCAAGAACTCCATCACTCTTTGGCTGCATCTTCATCTGGGCAATCCTGGCCGCCCATTTGGTAGTGATTGCTTCAGCTTCGGCCGTTGATTTCAGCAGGGGCCACCAGCTGGGCGAGCTGAGCGGGGGTTCGACGAGATCGGCGGCGGGGGGACTGATAGCTGACGAGGACGAGGATGCGGAGATGCAGATGGACTCGGAGATCAACCGGAGCATGTTAGCCACGAGGTCGTACATTAGCTACGGTGCGCTGAGTAGGAACACTGTCCCCTGCTCGCGACGTGGCGCGTCCTACTACAACTGCATACCTAGGGCTCCGGCTCGACATCGATCTCCGGCGAATCCCTACCGTCTCGGCTGTAGCGCCGTTACTCGCTGCAGGCGCTAATTTCAATTTTTTTTTTTATAATTTAATTTAATTTCCTCCCCTTTTTTTTTGTTATTATTGTTAAAAAATTATATGGGTCTAGTTGGTGATTGTGTTATATATACGTGAAGAGATTTTAATAAGGAAAACTAATAAAAAAATTTGAAAAATTTTGAGTTTTAACATAGTGATAGAATAAAAGATAAAATGAATAATACTATAATTAACTTTTTAATGTAAAAATTTTCGTTAAAATGAACAGTACTGCAAGCTTTTAATTAAAATTTTTTTTTAATAATTGTTATATTGTCATGTTAAAATACCAATTTGCCACTCTCTTTTATTTATTTATTTAATTATTTGTTTGTGCATTGTTTTTTAATTGGTATCCAGATGATTATTTGTGATGAAAATTAGAGAAAATAATGATATTGTTGTTGTGGTCTATCTTTAATTGAGGGTAGGCCTAGCAAACAAGTCGTGTCGTTTTCGTGTAACATCTGTTATTTTAACGGATCGTGTCGTGTCACACCTATTATTTTAACAGGTCCTTAACAAATCGAGTCAAGTGACCTAACCCGTTATTATCCGTTAAGATTTTTTTCCCTTAAATTTGCACGCATCACACATTGCCATATAAATATTACTTCAAAACATAAAAACATATTTGTCGTTTAAGTACTACATCTACACTCATATTACAAAATATTAAATGTGTAATGATATGCAAAATGAAAGAGATTTTGTTTTCAATGTTGTGAAGCCTTTTTCAAAAGTTTAAACCTTACGAATGGAACTTAAAGCTTGCATTTTATTTCTTTTACAAAACCCTCAATTTTTATCGATCATCATGACATAAAATTTTGTGGTATTCACTAGTGTAAATATTTTAAATTGAAGATCGAATTGATTCATTGTATTCATATATGATCAAGGAATGTAGCTGTAAAAAATCATCAAAATCGGAGTTAAAATAACCGTTAAATCGTGATTGTTCGTTGATAACCGTTGAAAAGTTTTGTCTTGTTACTTGATCTCTGAATCTCTTTTTTTTCTGCGATTTTTGACATATACGATCTTGAAGCATATACAAACAAGTTTGACGGTTTGATCGTTGAAATTAGTTTCGTAAAATACGTATCCATCAAAACGATAGATCCACTAACACGTAGAGTTTATTTATACTTTCATTAAGTATAACATAACATTTTGTGGTATCCACTAGTGTAAATATTTTAAATTGAAGATCGAATTCATTCATTGTATTCATATAGGGTCAAGGAGTGTAGCTGTAAAAAATCATCAAAATCGAAGTTAAAATAACCGTTAAATCGTGATTTTTCGTTGATAACCGTCGAAAAGTTTTATCCCGTTACTTGATCTCTGAATGTTTGTTTTTTGCAATTTTTGGCATATGCGATCTCGAAGTATATACAAACATGTTTGACGATTGGATCATTGAAACTGATTTCATAGAATGCATATCTCATCAAAACAATATATTCACTAACATTTAAGAGTTTATTCATACTTTCATTAAGTATAACATAAGATTTTGTGGTTTTCACTAGTGTAAATATTTTAAATTGAAGATAGAGTTCATTCATTGTATTTATATAGGGTCAAGGAGTGTAGCTGTAAAAAATCATCAAAATCAGAGTTAAAATAACAGTTAAATTGTGATTTTTCGTTGATAACCGTCGAAAAGTTTTGTCTCGTTACTTTGTCTCTGAATGTTTATTTTTTGCGATTTTTTGCTGATGCAATCTTGAAGCATATACAAACAAGTTTGACGGTTGGATCGTTGAAATTAGTTTCGTAGAATATGTATCACATCAAGTTCAATGGTGTATATATATTTATTAAGTAGATTTAAATTTATTTATTTTGTACATATAACACTTAAGAAATTGAATGGTAGATATATTTAAGCCGATCCAATGGTCACCAATTTTTAATATTTAATTTAATATATATATATATATAATTATTATAGTTTTTAGGGGTATAAAATTGGTAATTAAATATATATAATTATTATAGTATTTTTTTTAGGGTTATAAAATTATTAAATTAGTATTTTACTTATTGTGTATCGTGTTACCCACGTATATACCCAAACCAACCCGTTATCTTAACAGGTGCTTATCGGGTTACTCAATTTGTTATCGTGTCAATCCAAACACCTGTTAATTTCGTGTCATTTCGTGTCAGGAATTGTCAGGCCTAACTGAGGGGTGTGGCATAAAGAGAAAGAGAGTGGAGAATAGGTTTGAGGAATTATGTGTTAATTCCCCAGTCTTTGTGCCTTTATTTATAGTAATAAGGAGAAAAGAAACTTGTTCTTCAAGTAAGACAAAATCTATTAGGAAAGATCTTTTAGATCCCAAATGATTCATATTCTATCTCTACTTAGGATTTACACAATCACAATATTGATAAGAACATATGTCAAAACATTCCCCCTTGAGTGTGCAAATACTCAAGTAGATGGCGCATCAGATCTTTAGGCAAATGTAGAAGCAGTTGATGAAGTTGTCTTGTCTAGTCGGCACAGGTAACGAAAGCGAGTCTCAAAACAAATGGAAGAATGCATGGGTAGTAAAACTCACAAAACTTCGTTATGGCAAAACCCAAGGTGGGACAAAAACCCATAGTCAAAGGAGAAAAGTGAGAACTTGCATTAAATCAAAATTATACGTCTTTGGGATGCAAGTATGACATACACAAGGGTATAACCAACCCATGATAGGTGTCTCGTTAAAACCTAGTTAGGTAGGAAAAACCCAGTGGGAAAAATGCTCCTAATCATAAGAAAAAGAATACATTAAGGTCAAGTGAGTATAATTCTAGATACTCCCCATGAGTTTGACAAAACTCCAAATAAAACTACAAGCATAGCAAGTGAGAAAGTTACACATACCAATTCCTCGGACAAACTTCTGGAAGGTATATTTCGGCAGTGACGTCGTGTAGAGGTTGGCAAGGTTGTTTGGGATTGGACTGCTTGACTTCAATATTTTGATGCTCATGCTGATGTAGACACAATATCCTTGGTGTTGACTTGTTGGATGTATCATGATTTGGTCGATACATATGGTGTTGTCTTCATGGATCGTTATTAGGACTTAACGATAGATGAAAATTGCAAAGATTTTGAATATGCTCAACAAGAGCTTTTGACCATATCTCTCACGTGATGAGATACATTGAGTCTTGAAACGATTCAAAGGTTTTGCAACAAAGGTCTATCTGATTGACCTCCAAAATATTGCGATGTTCTTTAATGGTAAAGACATAACCATTCGGGAACGTACCTTGTGCGGTCAAACAGATGGTCTGATTCAGCGAATCCCACAAGGTAGGCATCCTGATGAAGATCAAGGGAGTGTGATATATTCTGAGATGCATAAGGATAGATAAGCCCAAATCCGTAGTAACGAAAAAACGTCTTTAACACCAAATTAGTGATGGCGTGTAGGCGCAGTGCTGCTTTATTCCAAAAGATTATCAGCACATAAGATGTCTGATCTAGTGCATTGAGTTAAGTACAACAAATGCCAATCGTACTTAGATATGGTTGCCTCACGTTCCAATATGGAACCTTATGCTCTATACCCTCCGTAAATGTCTCATTTGCATCTAACATACAGACACTAGGGTATACTCAGAAATAACACCTTCTGGGTCTAGTTCGAGTGGTGGACCAAAATACCATCAGAACTAGCTTGAAACTTCAGGTCAAGGTAATGTCAAGTTTTCCTAAGATTATTCATCGTAAAGTTCAACTTTAGGTGCGAACCAGTATTCTCGACTCTAGCAATTTTAGATTTTGTACACGCATGGCCATATATCCTAACTGATCAAATATTCACTTAGATGGGTATACCACATCCGCCCGGATAGTTCTGTATCCGCAAAGTGAAGGCCTCTTGAGAACCGAGAGGGTGTTCTTATGGTCTATAACTATTTGAATCAATACATGTAAGTTCTTTGGAAACTCCATGTAGGTTTTGTATCAGGATCCCAGAGATACTACAACCACGTTTGTAATGCTGCAATCAATCACATGGCATATGAAAGAAACCTTGCGCCATAAGGCATCATATCACACTATTTCATTAATCTCATTCGTCATAGATTGATTCTTTTAGTTAACCAATCAGTTCTACACTGACACTAATCAACGAAACGTGGTTCATTATTGTCACTTTTCATTTATGTCGGTAGTTAGCATATAAATGAAACTTCATCTATGGTAATCTCATTCTAATTCCATATCTCATCCAAACTAGTATACTGGCAAGAACTTTAGGTGTCGGGAGTAATCCGAATTTAATCTTATGAGATGAAAAGGATTGAGACAACGATCGAATGACAGATTTGTTTATGCCACGTTCCTCCACTTTTGAGGAGGTGAATCTTTGAATTGAGTGATTTGCCAATTTGCTAGCGCATGACAAGTTAATTGGCTAGCCGCCAATGTACGAGGGTTGGCCACAGTAGTGGCGTTCCTGCTTTCAGGATGAATGTCCGTCGTATATTTGGTACATATCTTTGTAGGCACATTTGCAGCTGGTATATGTGATTTCGTCACTTTTGCTAGATCAGAGGAAGTGTCTAGTTATACTCTGACGATCTAAATTGGGATTGAAATGAGACATAGTGGGATGTCCACGATAATTCGCGTTGTTCTTTAGGAACATTGACATCTTTATCTCCCCCTAATGGCGGGAAGATTGTCTAATAAAAGTGACAATTCGTAAAATGAGCGGTAAAGAGATCGTCTGTCAAAAGGTTCTAAGTAATGAATATTAGAAAGAGAATAATAACCGACATAGATTTTCATCCTTCCCTAAAGACCTTCTTTTTTTTTCTTTTGTATGTAAGGGCGGCACAAAATGGCACATAGACCGCACAACCAAAGACTCGCAAATGCGATATGTCGGGTTTATATCTCTGGTAACCAACTGACACGCGCTTTATAAGGTTAGGTCACGACAGGCCTCAGGCAGACCAATATTGTTGCTTGCAATATTGCATGACCCCAAGTAGAGATCAGGCACTTGGTACGTATGACCAGTGATTGCGCAATCATTTGAAGACGTTTAATGAATG